CCCTGGCACCTGTGAATGTTACCTTAGATGGCAGAAAGGTTTTTGCTGATATGATGGAATTAAGGACCTTGAGGGTCTTCCCTGGCAGAAGAGTGACTGAGACTCTGTGCTTCCACTATGAGGAGGATGGGTTTGATCCTTGGTTGGGGAACTAAGATCCTACATGCTGTGCAGCGTGGCCAAAATAAAAGAGTAAACCAAGGATCTTGAGATGGAGAGAGGAGCCTGGGCTACCCAGGTGGGTCTTATGTAAGAGCAAGAGGGAGGGAGAAAGAGACTTGAACACAGAGACGGAAGGCAGTGTGATGACAGAAGGAAGACTGCTGCTGGCTTTGAAGGAGGAAAAAGCTACAAGGCAAGGAATGCAAGGACTGCACATTCTAGAAGCTGGAAAAGGCAAGAAAACAGTCTCCTCTCAAGTCTTGAAGAAAGCAGGGCCCTGTCAGCACCTTGACTTCAGCCCAGTGCAATGGATTTTGGACTTCTGGGTTCTAGAACAGTAAGAGAACAATAGTATGTTGTTTTTAAGTCACTTGGTTTTTCATGTGTTATTAATTTGCTACTGCAGCCGTGGGAAACTGTTTCTCCCTCTTACCTGTATGTGAGGAGCTTCCCTGCTGGCTCAGACAGTAAAGCATCTGAGCATCTGCCTGCATTGCAGATGACCCAGGTTCGATCCCTGGGTCAGGAAGATCCCCTGGAGAAGGAAATGGCAACCCACTCCAGTACTCTTGCCTCGAAAATTCCATGGATGGAGGAGCCTGGTGGGCCACAGTCCCTGGGGCTGCAAAGAGTTGGACACAACTGAGTGACTTCACTTTCACTTTCACCTTGTACGTGAGAGCACATTAATGATCTCTGCTCCTGTCTCCCACTTTAACTACTTTTTTGAGACCTACATAATTCTGCAGTGAAGTTCTTGAACCCCAGTAGGCTGGTGTGTGACTGAGGAGGGGGAGTGAGGCAGTAAGTACTTGGGGAAGGGTGTTGGCCATTTTCAGCTGTCTTTCTGGGGCTCCAGCAGAGTTGGGGTTCAGTGGCGAGCACATAGCACCTTGACAGTGGGCTGAGGGGATGTGCAGGCATGTGGAGCACTAAGACTGACTTCTCAGAGTCTCCCTCCTAGGATAGATAGCCATATAGATGTTTTAGTCTGGAGCAGTATACCTTCCCCCTTCTTCTGTTTTGGGGAACTCTGCTTCCCCACTTGATCTGGTCCTGGAAATTCAACCCACTGTAGTCCCTGCTCCCCAGTCAGGGTCTGGGATGTGACTCAAGCCAGGCCATTCAGATGATCCTCTGGGGTAGGGGTACTAAGAATCACTTGGAAGGATTGTTAAAACACAGATTGCTGGGGTTGCACCCCCAGAGTTTCTGATTCAGTAGTCTGGCCTGAGAGCTTCCGTTCCTGAGTTCCCAGGTGATGCTGGTACAGGGGCCACACTCTGAGAACTCCTGCTTTGGGATTTTGAGTGCCAGAAGGCAGAAGAGTGGTGGTGAGTGCAACCAAAACAGATGATTCATGACTTCCTAAATGACAACTCTGAATCTAATCTGGTTCTGGGCATTCCCAGGGTCTAGTTATTCTTCTTTTATCTCTCCAACTTTATGCTTAAGGTATCAATTTCTGGTATCTGTTGCTTGCAACCAAAGATCTCTAATGGATTGAACTTGCAAGGAACACTCTTGATAGGGGAAAGGGTGGGGCTCATGGAGCACCAGAGGTACAGAGGATAAGTTAGACATAATCTCTAACTGCCAAGACCATATCAATGTGGATCTTAATGATCATTCATAGAATGCCTGCTATGTGCCTTAAGGGTGCAAGGAATTTTATGGCATCCTACCAGCCTTACAGTCATTCTAAAGGGAAGATATCTTTCCATTTATTTTTCATTTGATGATACAGAGGCCCAGGAATTTGCTATTTTATTGGGAACATATAAAATCAACATCATATTAGTGAATGGTAGGTAATACTGAGGAAAGGACAGTGGTTTCCTTCCTCTTAGCATATTTCTCCTCCTTTTTCATTTTCCCTGGGTGACTAATGGCCCCATTAGCCTGTCCCCACTGCTCTTTAAAATTCTTCTAAAGAGACAAAAAAAACCTGATTTTTTTGACCATCAAAATTAAGTATTTAACATTTTTCCCAGTCTGCTTTTCAAGTATTAGTTGCTCCAAGTATCCTAGAGAGATCAGAAGAGCCTTATTTGGCTTTTGACCTACAGGCAGATAAATAAAAACATGTTTGACCTTTGGAATTCATATGGAAAACATCTAGAATGAAGGGAGATGTTAGCTAAATGTTTGGGGGGAAATAGCTCATTTTATCTTTATTACAAAAAATACTTTATTGAGTGCTTCTAATGCCCTACACCACATCCTCTTGATTTGTTGTTTCCTTTAGTTGTGGCTGACTTCATGCATGGGTAACCTGACAGGTTAACTGCACAGAGTATCTCTTGCTTTCTGCTCCAGGGTATCTTTACTGCACTGGTGTGGAACATCCATGGGAATCTGTTTACTTATATTCACCCTGGAAGTGACAGATTATGAAAAACCTGTGCTTTAACCTTTCTCTAATGGAGGATGAGTCAGTGGAGAAATATTCCCTTCCAGTTCTTATTTCTTGGGAGAACAATCTTTAAGGCTCCTTAGAAGGTCCCAGTGAGATGAGTGGTCCACAGCAGGACCAACCCAAGAATGCTCTTTGGATTAGCTGTCCCTCCTTCCTTGCTTCTTGGTCCCTCATGCTTATTCTCTGGAATCACTCCTACAAAGAACCAGCTGCCTGAAACCTTGGGGTCTCAAGCTCAGCTTTCTGGGAGAACTCAGGCTAGGACAACATTTATTGTAGAAAATTAGAAAATACTGATAAAGACAGTAAATCACCCATAATTCTGTTCTCTCTAGAGATCTCTTTTGGTAAAATTTGGGTGTGTATTTTTTGTAATGCATACACTTGAAGAGATTTTGCCATACATATGGCTATGTATCCTGACTTGCTCTATTGTGAATATTTTCATATGGTTTTCTTCTCCAGTGTAATTTAATAGCTGCATAGTTTTTCATTTACTCACTTGTCATGTGTAATACTATGTGCCGGACACTGTATTGAGCACTGAAGACATCGCCATGAACAAATAGATCAGGTCTCTGCTCTCATGAAGCTGACAATCCAGTTAGGATCTTTCCTACGTTCTGATTCAGTTTAACTTAGTTAACCAATGCCCTTTACTCAACTACTTAGATTGCTTCTGATTTTCAATACTATAAACAGTGCTTCAGAGAACATTCTTAAAGGCATTCTTTGGACTCCTCACTCAATTTTCTTCTCTTGGATAAATTCCTAGAAGGGGAATTGCTGGAAGAAAGAGGATGTGAGTAAATAAAGGTGCTGGAATTCCCATCTAGATCTAACTCTGGCACCGAGGCTGTCAATAACTATGCTGGTGATATCACTGAATTTGAAAACATATATACACACATGCATGGTAACCAGAGGTGCAGTCAAATGGCTCCTAGCTGTTTCAGATGTGTGGACTCTATGATTTTGACAATTAGCAGGTCAAGTTATGGAGTAAGAGGGCTTCCCTGGTAGCTCAGCTGGTAAAGAATCCGCCTGCAATGCAGGAGACCCTGGTTCAATCCCTAGGATGCGAAGTTCCCCTGGAGAAGGGACAGGTTACCTACTCCAGTATTCTTGGGTTTCCCTGGTGGCTCAGACGATAAAGAATCTGCCTGCAATGCGGGAGACCTGGATTCGATCCCTGGATTGGGAAGATGCCCTGGATGAGGGCATGGCAACCCACTCCAATATTCTTGCCTGGAGAATCCCCATGGACAGAGGAGCCCAGAGGGCTACAGTTCATGGGGTCACAAAGAGTCAGACATGACTGAGTGACTAAGCACATGGAGTAAGAAAGAGGATTAGAATCCTGGGTCTGCAAATTACCAGCTGTGTGATTTGTGGCTGTTTGTCAATACAGAGACATTAGTTCTCACTTTAAGGGTTAAGTAAATATTTATTGAGCTCCTACTTATCACTGACCTCCAAGCTAACTGACAGTCCAGTAGGGAAGGGAAATGTTAGTAAGCCATTACACAAATAAAAGATCACAAAGTATGTTCTGTGCTCTAAGTATGGGATGCTATAAGAATGAATAACAGGGAGACTTGATTTGTTTGGGCAGGGTTTGGGGGATGAGCTGAGACATGAAAAGTTGTGGAGGAGTTAATCAGGTCCAGGTGGGGAGAAAGGCTCCCTGTAGTAACAATTGATACAAAGCCTTTCGAAGTTGGTATGCGATTGTATGTCTTTTTTCTTTCCAGTCTCACAGACCTCTCACTTGTAGTTCCTTCTGGAAAGACCTCTTCTGAGATCTGATCATCCCATAGTTGGTTTCTCATCTAGCTTTTAGTTCACATGACGTGTCAGACGGTTCATTCTCGGGACCATCCTTCTAAAGGTTATCCTCCCATCCCCGTCCTCCGCCTTACTATATTACCTTGCTGTAGCTTCTTCATAACACCTCCCACGGATCAGACATTCATATTTATTTGTCGAACGTCTCTACCTCCCCCCACCCCCTTACTTAAATCCCAAAACTCCAGAGGGAAGGAATGATTTTTGTTGCTGTAGATTTAAATGTTGAATTCTCAGCGCCTGGCGTACAATAGTTGCTCAATGCATGTTTGAAAGAAAACAAAAACAAACGGCTTGCGGCAGGGTGCACCTGGCAAGAGCCACAAGCGGAGAAGCTGGGGGCGGGGCACAGACCCCCGCCCTGAGCTCTATTGCAAGCCTCACAAGCCCTGAACAGCCCGAGGGGGCGCTCCGGGGGCGAGGCCGCCCACCCGGAACTGGAGCGCCGCGGAAGCAGCGGTTTCCGGCAGCGGCGGACACTTCCCGCGGAGGGACTTCCCGCGGAGGGACTTCCCGCGGAGGGACCGCCCCGTGGCACCCGGCGGGCCGTGGCGGGCGGGGAGCGGCAGCGATGGACGACCACAGTCTGGACGAGTTCCGCCGGTGCTGGCAGGAGGAGCTGGCTCAGGCACAGGCGCTGAGGAAGCGGCGGCGGCCTGAGGCTGCCGAGCGGCGGCCACGGCGGCCCGAGGTGGTGTCCGGGCGCGGCGAGCAGCAGGCCTCGGGGTACCTGGCTCTGGCCCAGGGTCTTTTAGAGGGCGCGGGGCGGCCTCCGGCGGCGCGGGCGACCCGGGCCGAGAGGCAGGAGGCGGCGAGCCGTTCCCGCTCCCCTCCGGCCCGCGACGCTGCCGGGGGCGGAGAGCAGCTGGTGGACCAGCTCATCCGGGACCTGGTGAGTGGCTGTCGCCTCCCGCCGAGGCACGGGCTGGCCCCCGCCCCGATACAGACCGCCTAATGAGTTGGAAAGTGACTGTGTGCCACCGGTGGGGGGGTGGGAGTGGGGAAATGAAAAGAGGTGAGCCTGGCGGGCTACAGTCCACGGGGTCGCCAAAAGTAGGACACGACTTAGCGACTAAACAACAACACAACCCTATGTTTGTGGATGCATTGAGTATCTTTGGAAGGTGTGGTTCCGAATGGGGGACGATTTTGTCCCGGGTTTTGGTAGTGTTTGGAGACATTTTTGGATGCCACAACTGGGGCGGGGCAGTGTGGGGTGGCTGGTAGCTGCAAGTATCTCGTGGGTGCTGATGAACATTCTACAACGCACAGGACGGCACCCACAAAAAATTACCTGGTCCAAAATATAAGTACCAGATCGAGGAAATCCTGGTCTGGAAGGGCACCTAAACTTGGGGGAGGCAAACCCACCATGCGGATAGGAAGGAATTTTAACTTTTCTCTATATAGTGTTTGGACAATTAAGGTTTTTTTCTGACTGTGCATGTGTTACTTCAATTAAAACACACAAAAAAGAATATTTTGGTAAGAACTTTCATGCTACTGATAGTGACCATTTTGTGGGACATGAATATCTTCCAGAATCTGGAGAAAGCCGGGGACTTTTTTTTTTTAATCCTTCTCAGGAGATTGGCACAATCAAGATGACTAGAAACACAGTCATAGTTAAGAGTTGGGGTAAGGCAGTGGGTTCAATGGCTTGATTTAAATTGGGCTCAAAGGCAGTATCTGTGGCTTCCCAGTTGAAAGTAATTATGTAATTGCCAAGCTGTTTGTAGAAGAAATGGATTATTCAACATAATATATAGTTATATTCAAATAACATTAGTAGCTGTAAGTTTTCACAAAGTTTCTGGTTCTGTACTCTGCCTATCTCTAAAGTTAGAGATGACTTTTTTTTTGGTGTATGTGTTTGTTAAACATTCTCATTTAATGTGTCAATTCTTTATATGTCTGAAAATTAATACTGGCATCATGCCTGCTTCTGTAAGAAGTGTTTGACCACTGAAGTCTGACAGATGTAAAAATTTTAAAAATTTTAATGCCTTTGCAAGGCGGCTTATCACCTGATAAGTTGCCCAGGCTAGGCCGGATCTACACAGAAGTTATTCTCACAGATACGTAGGCAAAGGCAAGACCAGTGCATGGAGTCGGGGCGGGGGGGGGGTATGAAGAGAAACAGGAATGGGGATTATTAGGACCAGTAATCCTCCCTACTGAATATGGCTTTGTCTTTAGGAGCCACAACAATTCTGGGAGGTAGGTATTGTTGGTCTCCTTTTACAAATGAGGAAATGCAGGTTTTCTGTAGCTTACTCAGGATTACCCATCTGACAAGTTCTTTGGATTGAATTTGGGTCCAGATCTGTTGGACTTTAAATTTCACCAGCTAGGAGTTCCTTAAACTTGACTTGTTACATCAGTTTGCAGAGGAGGGGCCCAGAAACCTGGTGATTGGAATAATCAGGTGGGTTTGAGACATTGTTCTCCGCTGTACCGCCTCTTGGTTTGGGGTCCTGATGCTCGCTGGAGGCTTTCTAGACGTAACACTCCTGAGGCACAGGCGTCCATTCCAAAAACAGAGCAGCCCTCACTTAAGTGTCCTAAAAATGGAAGCAACTTGCCTTCTGGAGGATCCAGGGGACTTTAGAATCTCAGTCTCATCTGTATTTAAGGGAAAGCCAGCCCTGGAGGATATGCCCCTGATCCCTCTGCTCCCTTCGGAACTGCCACATTAGGTTCTACTGAGCGGTACACTACCATCAGCAGCATCCAACCTTTGGGGCATCGCTAGTGGTTTTCTTTTGTTTTCTGTACTTAGCAATCATCAGTAACACGGCTGTAAATAAAAAACTAATAAAATCACCGTGTGCTTGCTTGTTGTCTCCTTGGGATTGTCAGGGTTTAGAAATGTGGTTTCCGGTTCTCCCAGTGACCCTCCTCAGTGGCTAGCATTAGGCCCATTTGGCAAATGAGGTTTAGGAAAGTAATTGACTTAAGGGGCCCACCCAGTATCTTCAGTCAGAAAACCGATGGCAGCTTTTATAGAAAAGATCTGGATTTGTATTTCAGGGGTGATAAGTCCCAGAGCCCACAGAGAGCAGGCAGGAATACGAATGAGTGAAGTAGGCTGTTACTCATTTGATCCTTTTTTCCTAGTTCATCAGGTGTTTCTGTTGAGCACAGATTCCAGCCATACTTTTGTAATAATTTGTTTCATGACAACTACCGTTCTTCTTGCCACGTTAAATAGTAAACATCATAACGGTGTAGAAATTGTCCTCATGACATCGCTAAAGAAAAATACTTAGACGTTTTTCTTGATGCACAGCCCTCCTCTTGGGCTTGTTTCCCCATTTTCTAAAAAGACAACCTCTGTGTTGAATTGTACAAACCATAAATATACATCTGAATGTGTTTCTGAGAGTGTATATAGCCATGTAAGCAGCACCCAGGTTACAGAGCAGCATTACCAGCTTTTCAGAAGCTTTACTCGTGCCACTCCACCCGAGGGCAGCCTCTCACCTAACTTCTAACACCTTAAATTTTATCTGATTTTTTAAAATTGTATCAGTAGAATCATACAGCATGCACTTTTGTGTCTGGGTTCTTGTGCATAGCATTATGTGTGAGATTTCTCCCTAGGAATATGCCACATCTTACTAATTCTACTGTTGATGGGCATTGCTCATAACTAGTTTGTTAATCACCAGTTTCGGGCTGTCTGGAAAAGTGCTGCTACGAACATTTTGTACATCTTCCGGAACACATGAACACGCTTGTTGGGTATCTGCTTAGGAGTAGAATGGCTGGGTTACAGGGTAGGCATGTGTTCACCCTCAGGAGATATTGACCATTTTCCAAAGTAATTGTACTAACTTTTACTGTTCATAATAATTGGAATATGTGGAATATGGTGTTTCACTTTTTTCTTTGCCATAAATATATTCCCACCCACCTGAGATGACATGCAGCAATGAACTTGACCCTAACATGGATGAGATGATAGTGACAAATTGGGGAATGTATGCTATGGCTGGGCTAAATGTGGGAGTCTTGACCCATATTAGTTGGTTGTTGCTATGTAAGAATGTGGTCCAGGTGTTGTAGAGTCTTTACTTTTTTTCTCGCCCCCGCCCCACATTGTGATTTGTGTTTTTATGTGGACTCTTACCAGTTTCTTTTTCATTTTTAAAATAATTTTTTTTTCATTTTTAAAATAATCTTATTTATTTATTTTGACTGTGCTGGGTCTTTGCTGTTGTGCTTGAGCTCCCTCTGGTTGCAGTGAGTGGAGGCCAGTCTTCATCGTGGCACGTGGGCCTCATTGTGGTGCCCCCTCGTTGCGGAGTGCAGTCTCTGGGTGCACAAGCTTTAGTAGTTGCTGCATGCAGGCTCGGTAGTTAGGGTGCAGGGGCTTAGTTGCTCCGAGGCGTGTGGGGTCGTCCCAGTCGAACCTGTGTCCCCTGCCGCGGCAGGTGGATTCTTAACCACTTGGACCAGCAGGGAAGTCCAACTCTTATCAAAGATTTTCCTCTACAACCCCCCCCCCCGCCCCAATTTTGGCTTAAGACAACAAGAATTTATTTAGCTCAGTGTCTTTCAGGGTGGCAGTTTGGGCTGGGCATGGGTGGGTTCATGTACCTGTCTGAGGTTAGCTCCTGTCACTGAAGCAGCTCTGTGTTTGTGTGTGGCCTCATCATCCAGCAGGTCAACCCTGGGTGGACCTTATCAAAGTTATGAGAGTGGCAGGAGGGCAAGTCCTAACCCACAAATGCTTTTGAAGTCTGTGTGTTTGTCATTGTCTCATTGACCAGAGCAGTTCATTTGGCCACATCCAGAATTGGAGCTACCCACATGCTTGAGTACAGAGAATCATGTACAAGTCGGGACTAGTTAATACAACCATCTGCCACAAGAACTCTTCCCTCCTCTAGTTCTCTGTAACACCTTTCCATGGGCTAGATCTGCTTTGGGCCATGAATTTGGGATCTGTGGGTGACTACTGAAAAGGAAGATTTAGTTCCATTTGGTATGCCTCTCCTGCCTCAAAAAAACTCTTGACAGTCTTATCCATTTGACCTGAGAAGGAAATAAAAAGTCATCACCACCTCCAAACATCCCCTCTCCCCTCTCCTCCCCATCTTTGGCACTCTGTTAACTGTCATGTCTTGGCTTTTTGGTGCAGTCTCTTTCACTTCAGTCTTTAGCATCAACACTGAAGCAAGAACAACTAGTAAGTTAGCAGTCAGGAGTGAAATTGCCTCTTAATGGGGTAGTATTGTAGTGTTACACCATCGGGTACAGGCCAGACCTTTGATGAGCAAGCCCAGCTCAGATGAAAACTTAGAAATGATTCCTCTTGGGCCTTCTCTTATGAAGCTTTTGGTAACAGTGCTTGGAGACCATCTGTTTTAGGTGGTGAGTTAGGGACACCTAAATTGTCTTCTTGGTATATGGTTGAATTAGTGAAAGAAATGATACAGCCCTGGATAGAATTTTGGAGGCATGCATTTTTTGTCTTTTTCCCCCTTTTTGGTAAACTCAGGGTTGCCATAGGTAGTGGAGCCGCCTGAGTATAATCGCAAGCATATTGCTGCGTTCTTCACTGTGGTGGTCATGAAATTCAATTGCTCAGTCTCATTTCTCTTTAGGTGGTATATCAGGACTCTGGGCAAAAAGCAATCAGCACCCAACTCAAATTGGTTTAGAAAACCAAACTGGAATCTGTTGATTCACATAGTTGAGAATTACAGGTGGTAGTTCTTGTTCTGGGTGCTTTTATAATGTAACTAGAAATCTTTCCATCTCTCTCTTTTTCTCCTCCCCCACCCCAGTTTTACTGAGCTATAGTTGATATTAGTCAGTTCAGTCTGTCAGTCGTGTCCGATTCTTTGCAATCCCATGGACTGCAACACGCCAGGCTTCCCT